TTCTGTTCCATTGGAATCTGCTTAACTGAAGATGAAGAAACAGTTTACTTTAAAAATAAGATAGTTCAATATGGTCTATTTAAACTGTCTACAAAAATAAATAACAGTGATTTTCTGCTATTCCCCACCTCATAATGTCCATCCACATTTGTTTTATTTTTAGAACAGCCTATTTGGCTTAGTTCTTTTTCAAATATAATAAAGATGATTGCTATTATTAATATAGACACTCATACATTCCCTTCTATGTGAATTCAGACAGTCTAGACCCGGGCATGGTGCTCTGAACTACAGTGTTACACATCTAAAGCTTTAATAGCCATCCTAATAATGGCAGCTTTAATAGTAATGCTGTTCATAGTACTAATAGCAGGGGCTTATTTAAACCCCAGTGTACTCAAAGTGTACCTCATCTTTAACTGGAATTGAGAAGTTGAGAGGTGGTAGGAGCAAAAGTATGGACTTGTCAATTTTAGTAATGACCATGGCTATATTTCCAGTACCAATCTCAAATGTGTGATGAACAGAATTCAACAATCATGGTTGAAAGTGAATGAGTAAATAAATAATTAATATTGCACAGGGTACAAGATATTCCAATTAATTATGTTATTGACAAGTAGCTCTTTTTTTCTTCTTTTTTTGAGTTGGAGACTCACTTTGTTGTCTAGGCTGGAGTGCAGTGGCATGCTTAAGGCCACTGTAACCTTGACCTGTTGGGTTCAGGTGATCCTTCCACCTCAGCTTTCCAAGTAGCTGGTGCTACAGGCATGCACCACTTCACCTGGCTAGTTTCTTTTGATTTATTGTAGAAATGAGGTCTTGCCAAGTTGCTCAGGCTGGTCTCGAACCCATGGGCTCAGGCAATCCTCTCACCTCAGCCTCCCAAAGTGCTGGAATTATAGGCATGAGCCACCATGCCCAGTCTGACAAGTAGCTTTTTCAGGTCACTCTTTTAAGTAAGAAAACAGACTACTTTAGTAACTCCCTGCAATGCCAACATTAGGTAGTCCCAAGAAAGAGGCGATAGGACAATAAGAAATAAGGGAACCATGCAGAGTTAACAGTAGTTATGGTTCTTCAAGCTGATAAAATAGAATAATTAACTTTTTAAAATAAAGTGTATGCTTACATTTCTTTCTTTTTAGTGCTTTACTTCTGATAGTCTTATCATTCTTTAAATATGGTGATATTGTAATGTTTTTGAGAATAATAATTCTAGTTCAGCTTTAAATCTTATGGAGAGGAGGGCTGATCTTAGGTCTTTGTTGATGAATTTAGCAGTGGAATCAGACTCTCTGCCTACTCCCTGCCTGCCCCTAGAAGTTCACCATCGCCAGAGAAAAACAAATGACTTAATCTCATTTTAAACATATGATAATAAATCTTGTTTAGACATTCACATGGCTTGTCAATCCTGTTACACTTCTCTAGTAGAGTCAACTTCTTAGTTTCTAAAATGATCATTTTTATCTCTTCTCTTGTTATGATAAGTCTCCTAAAATTTTTTTCTCAGCTAATCATTTCCCCCACATTTATTTGAAAACAGCAGTAATCAGACAGGAGATTTGTCATCTTCTTACCTCTAAATCTACCCCATCCCACCTGTGTCTATTCCCATGTCCATGGCCATCTTACTGTTAATATGTGTCATTATTGGTATCTAAGACCAATTCCTCTCCTTGTGACCTGAATCCTGTGCTCCTTGCCTTCTCAAGGAATTTGCTTCTGCAATAGTTCTCATGGTTATTCTTCACAGAAATTCTTTCTTCTCTATTGGAATTTCAACTAGCACTTGAATATGCTCTAACATTTCCTATGCCAAGCAAAAGATGTATTTGACACACATCTCCCTCAAGCTCAGCCCCATTTCTCAGATCATTTTCATAGTTTCATAGTTATTTATAACTTCTGTCTTTCCCATTCTTACCACACATTCACTCCTCAAGCTCCCCCTCCACATATGTAAATCTAAAAGTCACATCTCTGTTTTATTTCACTTGAACTCTTACCTGCATTCAAGACAGTTGATCATCCTCTCTTTTTAAATTAGTATTTAATGGGTATATCCATTAGCTATTGCTTCAAAACACATTATCCTAAAACTCAGTGGCTTAAAATAACAATTTGTGATTACTCATGAGTCTATGAGTCTTCTGGGTGGTTTATATGGCCTCCTGTTTGCTCACTTCTGTGTTTATAGTCAGCTGCTCTAGCCTGGGTCCCGACATGTTGCAATGTTGGAGGTTGGTTAATCCTCGCATGATCATGACCTGGAATGGTTTTGTAAAGCTGGCAGCTTTACATACTCTGACCAACTCTATTTACTAGTTTTAGTCATCTAAAAAGTAATAGTGGTAATGCTTTAACTGCAATACTTAACAATGTGTCTGTTCGTGTGCTAATATAGAGGGAAAAAAACCAAACCTGAAACTGTCACATTCCTTTACAGTTCTGTAAATGGCATGATTTATTTTTTTAGTGCGGTGAAATGAGTAAGAACTTAGTGGAGTCATTTTTCATTTTGCAGTTTTTGATTATGCAAAGGATCAAAACAAAAGTAGAGAAGAATTAAACACATGCTGAGGTTATTTCATTTCTGTGTGAAGATCTGCATGAGCAGTAGGATAAGTACATGTAAAATTCAACTTTTTGTGTGACTGAGAAAACTCTCATAGATAAATTAGTGCTGAAATACATAAAATATTTTTATATGTAAATAAAGTAAAGCCTGGCAACTTTACCATCTGTGAGAGTGTGAGAGTTCTTGGAAACTGACTCATTCAGTCAGGCAAAGATGTGAAACCATATTTGAATGTTAAAATATATGAGCTACATATAATCTAGGAGGTTAGGGGAAGCACATACTCCTGACAACAGAGTGTTTAAAATAGATATGGAGTTATTGAGAAATTAACAAACACTATAGTAGTGAAGGAAAAAAATTATAAGTTAGTGCATACTGTTTTTTAAAATTGGTTTGATTTAGTAAGTCGGAATAAATGTTAAAGAGCTTATTGAGTTCATTTAGTTCAACATCGCTTTGCAGATTACAACACTAAAAAATAATCGTATGCCTAGAAAAGTTGTGTGAATTGTCAATGGGACCACAAACGCTTGTGGCACAGGCAAGACCAGATCATAGTCTGTTGGCACCCAATTCTCATCTCTTTCTTCTGGGTATGGCACCAATTTACTTCAGAGAAAAAAATCCTCTACCAACTTGAAAGTGTTTCTGTAGCAATTGGGGCCTAAAAAATTATCCAATCATTTGAGAAGGCTCAGGAATTTATTATTAACTTGGGTGTTCTAGGTAACATATTCAAGCTTTCACATCTAGAAAATTGACATCTTGATAATTTTTGTGAGATAACACAGAAGACTAAATTTTATGATATAAAGGAAATCACAAGGCTGTTTTTCAGAATTATCTGTTCACACAATAACTCTTCAAATGTGTGATTTTGCTTATTGTTTTTTATATCTCAGCTCTGTAAGACAGTGTGATTGAAGTCTCCATATCTGCGTTGAAGTAGAAATCCTTCATGGCTAGTGTCATGTCAGGGAGACACTGTATTTCATGCCTTCCTTCCCACCCTCTCAAGAAAGTGAGGGACAGTGTTCCTAGGAAAGTTTGACCCCTTCTGTTCATTAAGTGGGGAATCAGTTTTCTTTCTAGCAAATGGAGGAATTTACCACATAAAACCAATATGCTAGTTTGGTTTTCCTTGTCTCAAAAGTTGGGAAGATAGAGAAACAAATGGAATTCAAATTTTCTTTTGTTTACCTAACCTATTTCAGAGGTATTAATATATGGTAAGATTTTAACCTTTTCTACAAAAAAACAGTAGTAATAAAAAAGCTCAATTAAAATTATTTCAGTTTATATTTGGAATTGATTATATCAAGAGTTTGGTAACAATTAAAGTGTACTAATTAACTTTTATTTAGACTGGAATTAAAATTTGTCAGTATATGTTATTTGAAAAATCAAAGACTTTATAGTATCCATGATTCTTACTGATGCAAATACAGAAGCTTTTCAGGGAATCAGTTTGGTGAGAGGACTGTGAACTTGGGAGTCACACTGCCTTGTGTGATCCCACGGCTCCCATTGCTATGCAAGTACCTCCAGGCAACTTCTTTCATCTCTGTTTCCAGTTTTATAAAATGGGGTACTCTTGCTGTCTACACAATAGGATTGAAATAACTTATCACATTGCACAAAATGCTTAGTATTTAACTGGAATTCAGCTTAACTATTACTGGGAGATTGGACTAATATCACACTAACCTAGCTCATCTTCTGGGAATTTCCTTTTTATGTTTAAAGCCCTAACATGTATGCTATCGCCTTACTTATCACTTACCTTTTTCTTTTAAAAATATACGTGAAAGATATTTCTTTTAAAAATATATATGAAAGATAATATCTAGTTAGTTGAGGTTAGGCAGATAGACTAGCTGTAGAACCCATTTCTCTTAAAGGATGGCTATGTAATCCATCATTCTTTATCTCTCTCTCTCTGTCTACTGGTTCCCTAATTGATTAATGAATTAAATAAAAGCCGTGACGTGTGTTCATTTTTTATAGGTATGAGCATAATTATTTCCTGCTTTAAAAATTATCTTTTTAGCCACCACAATTAAGAGCACATTTTCTAAACTGATGTAAAGAAGAAAATTTTTTTTAAAAAAGAAACCTCTCACCCACCCACTAAAAAGCTGTCATGACTATGCTTTTCCTTCAAGTGTCAAAAAAAATGTTATTCTTCTGCATTCCTCAAGTTAAGTGGCAAAGTCAAGAATATTACTAGAAAAGATGTAACAAGAATTTTGTTTTTGTTTAATTCAGTACCCATGTAAAAATTATGTCACGTTATCTATAGATGTTCAGTAAATTTAAGATTAGCATTTAAAACATTTTAATGTAAGCCACAACCAGGTGAAACCCACATGCCTTTTTCTTTTTTTTTTTTTTCTTTTAGCATGTTATACATTTAGTTGGTTGCTCTGTAATTCACATGAATTTCTGGTTTCATGTCACAGACCATGCTCAAAAGCTGTCTCATAACGTCTTCCAGGTACTTGTTGTAGCATCTGTTCAGTTCTTGTATCTTCTCTAGTGTTTGTTTTTCCATTTCATCTGAGAGATTACTCTGAGAACCCATTATCTAATAAAACAAAAAAGACAGAGTTCATCACATAATATCAAAATGTGTTGTTTTATAAGTTAAATTTGTCTTAGCATATTTATTGATGATTGTTCTGTGGCTGTCTACATATTATGTAGTTTTTTTCCAGATTTTTTTGAGAGAACAGACAAGATCATCAATACCATGAGTGGGAAGTATGAACTTTTCTCAAAAATGAAAGCTGGCATAGCAGGTTACTTTCACTTCTAACTGACCTCTACATGGTACAAGTTGAATTCAAGTTTATTGTCATTAAACCATGCTCATAAGTTCTTTTCCATCACATTTTTCATGTATTTATAATAATTTCATTTAGTTCCCATATCTTCCCTATTGCTTACTATCTGAACTACAAGTCTGGAAAATAAAGTTGAAATAAACTCACTTTTGCTGGTTTTTAAAGAGCCAATAGCTGATTTTTCTATTTGTAAAATACATTTTCTGAACTAATTAAGTTTTGTTTTTCAAGAAAATACAGCTACAATATGCCCTGTGTGATACTTTTACATGCATATTTTTGGGTAATAGATATAATCTTGAAAATTGTAGTGTAAATTGAATTTCTTTCAAATTGAGATGTACTTCATTTAGTTGCATTATAATTTTAGACACAGTTTCATACATCTTTCTTATTGTTTTTTAATTGGTGGTAAATCCCAGTATTTTCCATGATCTTCTTTTCCCCTTAACGTCTCCATCAAAGAATGATTTGTCCAAAATATAATTTTATCAAAGGAGTTAACAATTTAAAGGAATTCTGCAGTGAAAAACTTTGAAAGTTATCTTTACCAAAGTATACAATGGACTCCTCAGTTATCTCCTGTGTGAACTCAACCTTGCTTAAACGTGGCATTTTCAAAGGCAAGACAGCTGTTTTATGTTTGTTTTCTTCTTCTGTGTTTAGGAAAAGTACATATTTAATTTAATCCAATAGACTCCACTAATGATTGGCTTCCACTTCAGGGTTTTTAGGCTATTCTACATTCTAGTATCTGCATGATCTTTCTGGTTCCTAAGCTTAAAATCAAGTGTGATTGAAGGTATTGGGTTCAAGTTCTTTTCTGTTTACAGTCTGGGCAACAGAGTCTTCTCAGTTAAAAGAAAATAATTTTGAGAAGATATAGCTTCTATGACATCAAATAAGTTTTATAAAATAACATGTTTGTAAGTGAGTACACAAGAAGCAGAAACATATGGACCTAATTTCCCTTGCTAAGAAGAAATTTTAAAACAGAAGAAAACTGCTTATCAAAATAGTTCTACCAAACTCAAAGTTCTTTCCTCTAAATTTAGTATCTCAGGTGGTATTCTATTCAACTTAAAAAAAGAGAAATTTCTCTTAAATTCAATGTCCTAAGTGGTGAAAAATTAAAAGGCAAACTGTTTTGAAACTATTATCCATTTTTAAAAAAAGTAATATTTTAAATTATTATTAGATTAGTTTAGTGAAACTATCCTGTATGACTTTGTAAAAGTTATTCTCAACCTTAGATTCTTTATTTTTAAAATAGGGGTAATATCACCCATCTGATGAGATCGCAGTAAATATAAACCAGATGCACGAGTGTTAACTGCAGAGCAGTAGTGTCTGATAAAAAAAGTGTAATATGAGTCACAAAGGCAACCCAAACATGTAATTATAAATTTTCTAGAGACCATATTAAAAACTTGAAAGTTAAATATATTTATATTCAACCTAATATACTCAGAATATTTTAATGTAGAATCAGTATTAAAATAGTCCATTCTTTTTTTCATATTAAGTCTTTGGAATCTGGTATGTATTTTACACTTATAGCACATATTAGTTAGGACTCTCTACACTTCAAGTGTTCAGTAGTCACATGTGAAGTGGCCACCATTTAAGACAGCAGTAGATGACAACTGTGAATATTAGTTGTAGTTTTGATGTGGTTTGCTAAGACAAACGTTTATTTTCTTTTTTTTGAGTCGGAGTCTCACTCTGTAACCCAGGCTGGAGTGCATGGTCACTGCAGCCTTGACTGCTGGGCTCTGGCAATCCTTTTGCCTCAGACTTCCAATTAACTGGAACTATAGGCACGTGCTACCATGTCCAAGTAATTTTTAAATTTATTGTAGAGACGAGGTGTCACCAAGTTGCCCAGGCTAGTCTCGAGCGCCTGGGCTCAGGCAGTCCTCTAGCCTGGGCCTCCCAAATACTGGGATTACAGACTTGAGCCATCGCACCCAGTCGAAAAATGATTATTTTCTACAGAGGTTTTTTGTGAAGATGGTACTTAGCACAGAAGCCTAGCACTGAGCAACTACTCAGAAAATATTAGTAATTATTTTTATAATTTTTCACCGATTGTTCTACTTGTGCTTTTCAAATGTTTCCAATCCATTTTGTACTTTTAGAAACATTATAATACTTTTGTAAATAGCCCCAAATCCCATGTTCATTCTGAATAATTAAATACAATAATATTTCTGAGTTTGTCTGATATCCAAACAATTTGAGTTTCTACAGTGTCTCCTAGAAAGTACTGTAACAATGACTGGCCATACACTATTTTAAATGACTTTCTTAGGGAGGAATTTTATCCCTTGGTATTTGTAGGCAGAGTGCTGAGTTAATTCATGTAGGAGTTTAAATGAATGAATATTCGTTCCACAAATGCAATGGTCAGTGTCATCTTGCTCACTGATTTGTTGTAAGTGACTCAAATACCGTCAAGCATGTAGTAGATGCTCAATACATATTTGCTATATTGAATAGAATAATCAGATCTCCAGGTATTACAGAGACCTCATTGCCTGTGTTCTATGGCTCATACTGGCAGAACCTGTAACTTGAACATTTAGGGCACTACCTGCATTAGAAGTTGAGAATTTTGTGGCATGTAATAATCATTTGGTCAAAGGGGGACATTTGATGACTCCTCCACGTTAATTTTTAAAACTTCACTGCTGATGCTGATGTATAACTTTACCGCAAATGATGGATGGTGATGGTAAGATCTTTCAACCTATACATTTTCTTATAAGTTGTTTAAATGTTCTAGTTTAAAGTAAAGCAGAGCTCCAGGTCCCACCATCAGAAGCAAGACATAGTTTCATGCTCTCAATTTGTGATTGCCTCAAGGAATAAAATGCTCTTGAGATATGAATTCAGTAAAAAAAAAAAATAAATTAAAGGTATAAAAATCTTCAGTATGCCCAAGGCAACCATTCTCAGGCTACCTATTTAGATTCATGACCTGGCTTTTACTTGTGTTCATCACAGATTTAATTTTCCACTGTAGTTCAAAATTTTTAAAGGCAATATAACATCTTCTTCAGTAGAAGATGTAATATTGAGTAGCAACGATAAGCAAGGAATACATAAATCTTTGATTTAAAAAATTTGCTGATATCACAACCCACATTGGGATATCTGCTTCTGTTGATGTTAGGGAACTTGGAAAAACACATATATTAACAAGCACTAAAAAGCAACAAAAAAAAGTAACATCAAGGTACAACACCCACAGCAGGCAGGAAACTGGTTTCGTGGGTCTCCTCCCAGACCTCCTAATTGCCTTGGGTTAATGAGGATGAGATTTAACTGGAACAGCAATATGCCTGACATATGGAGGTCATGCCAAGGAAAGAAGATCTGTGCTAATGGTTTTACAATATGCTTGAAGTAGCTGAGGCTTAAACATATTGACCTTACCATGTGAGCTTTTGATCAACTAGCTGTAAAATTGGCTTGGAGCTCTAATTATGAGAGCGATGAAGAGTTTTAATTATTTAATTATTATCCAAAATGGAGAACAAATATCCAGAACTAGATATATATCTGATAAGATTCTTCTGGATAAATAATATTTGAAGAGATTTAATAGAACTCTCTGAAATTAAAATCAATTTTGTTATTACATAAAACAAACTATCATATCAGAAATATCATACATAGGATAACCAAAGCTAATTAATGTGAAGGATGATTGTTTTCTCAGGTCCTGCTATGTCATGGTTATGACAGGATTCAATAAGTAAGGTAAAGACAAAGAAGAAATGTTAGCTATTCATTCTTCCAACAAATATTTATTGATTTCTTGCTTTGGGGCAGATACTGTCTATTGTATATGAGAGACGTCAGAGAACAAAAACAACAGGGAATAAAACAAAGAAACTGCTGTTTGGGTGCTTACAGTCCATAAGGAGGTATAGACAATAAGCAAAATAAATACATACAAAATGTCAGATAGTAATAAGCACTATAAAAAAGAATTGTCTATAATGGGATATGACTGTATTTATGAGAGAGAAAATTTTAGATAAGGTGATCAGGAATTGGAGCTAACAAAAGAACAGAGATCAAAGAAGAAGGAATGCATCAAAAATAATTATAAGGAGTGAGAATGCTGTGTGTAAAGACCTCATGGCAGTGGCACATTCTGTCTGAGGAAGAACAGGAAGACCAGCATGCCTAGAACAGAACAAGGAACAAGTGGAGACTAAGGTGGTAGAAAATGTGGTCAGAGGGATAGCCAAGGGTCATGATGGAGAGCTGTAAGAAATTAGGATTTTGGAATCTCTTTTTAAAAAATATTGATAAGAATAATTTATTTAGATGAGTAGTCTGTCTTATTCTAGAAAGGACTTTTAATCTAAAGAATCAAAAAGCCCACTGGGAAAGCTTTTTCTGCCCCAGGATCTACTTTATCTAATCCTACAGGAGCTCCTTACCAATTACCACTAAAATAAAAGTTGGAAATAAGGAGTATTTCCAAACTGCTTGTAATCCAGGCTTCTGCATAGTGCTGAACTTCTAGAAATTAAGATCAGTTTTGTTATTATGTAAAACAAACTACCATATCAGAAATATCATACATAGGATAATCAAAGCTAATTAATGTGAAGGATGATTATTTTCTCAGGTCCTGCTATGTCATGGTTATGACAGGATTCAATAGGTAAGGTAAAGACAAAAAAGAAATGTTAGCTATTCATTCTTTCAGCAAATATTTATTGATTTCCCACTATGGGGCAGATACTGTCTATTGTATATGAGAGACAAATTTTTTTTTTTTTTTACTAAGACAAAAAGAAAATATTACATACAATTTAGATATAACACATGGAGTTTAGTACTTTCTTTTAGTCTATGTTGCAACATGGGAAAGAGGATGTTGGCTCTGAACATTTCATGTGTTTATATTTCACAGTAAACTGCAGATATTTAAAAATATGTCAGTGTAGGAGAAAACATTTCTATATATCTAGATGAAAGGTTTATTGAATGAATCAGCCAGTTGTGAAGGAAATCATAAGGAAATATCAGAAGGCTTTTCAGCAATTTGCAATAATATTTATTTTGGTCATTTGTAAATCTTGGGAATATTAGTTGTTGATGTAATTAACTATATATTTATTTTAAAATATGTTTTCTGAAGTTTTTCTTACTAAAACGCATTAGTCAACAATCTGTCATAGATATGATACTTTAATCAATCTCTTCTACTTTCATATTTGCAAACATGATTTTTAACATATACTACCTAATACCTAATAACTATCGATTGACCCTTTATATGACAAGTTAAAAATGTCTTGAAAGTGAAAATGTAAACTCAGTCATTCTGTTATGTTTAAGAGTTAGTTTGATTTTCAGCCTTGATTGAACTGTATCTGCTCAGTCCCAGCATAATTTTCGTTCCTCATATTCTACATTACACCTTGGGAATATTAATATCTTATCATCTTTTCTGCATAAAAATCAGTGTTGACTTTATTACTTACATTAGATTGTTTAAGTTGAAACTCCTTATCTCTCTGCAATCTGTACTGCAATTTCTGCCATTGCTTCCTCCTTAGCTTGCTTCAATCACTTCCCTTTTCCTGAAAATTAACAGTGGCATAAAAGAAATGATATTTCTTTTTAATACACATAGAACTGGAAACTAAAGTTTTTAAAAGATGGTTGAGTTCTTCATTATTTTTAATGACATTTTTCTAGAATTGCAAACTATTGAAAACAAGATATTGAAAAATTTTTTATGTTTTCTATTGGATTCTTTAGGACATGGAAATGACAACTTTCTCTCACACTTAAATGTTTAAATAAAATATCTGCCCATTTACTCACAGCAGTAATGCCAGAGAACAGATTTTAGCTGTCACTTACTCGAAAAGACATTATTTGGTCAGATTTTCTGTCTTGATTTGCTGCCAGGAATCCTTCAATCCACACCAACTGGATCGTATTTAACACTGGCAGATCTCCAAAATCGCTACAAACATGCAACTCAGACTCTATCAAACTGACTTAGAGGTTTTTGGGGTTTTTTTAAACATTTTATTGGGATTTTTCTTTACCATTTGTTGACTCTAGAATGTCTGATTAAGCCCCCACAACACATCAAAGTGGATTTTTTTTTTGTAGTAGCTTTCTCTGACGGGGACTTGAAAGAGGCTATAAAACCAATTGTTTTTAATGGTTAGGAGATTTAGTTAAGTAGCCCCCTTTTCTTTTATTAAGAGCAAAGGTGTAAGCCTTAAGCTAGCAGACAACATAAATGAAAGTTTTAGACAAATACAATTCTGTGGTAATTATTAACTAAGCACATGAGTTTTTTGACAACCAGTATAAAGTTTTTTGGGGGGGGAGTGGGGGCTATAGACTAATATTAATTGTTGCTATGCCCCACTTTGGGGTTTAGGTACTAATGCTTTGTGATCATTAAAATGTTAAAAGAAATCTGAACTATATTAAACTTCTTTTTTTTAAATCTGAATCTATTGTTCTTTTAATTTCAGTAAAATTTCATTCATTCTTTTGATTATTTAATGTAGTCTTTTTCCTCTGATAATGTCTTTTAAGTTTTTGTTCATAATTTTTGCCAACTGTTTGTTGGCACAATATGTTGACTAACATTTGTTATATAGATGTTGAACTAAAAAGTATATTTTCCTTAAGTAGCATAAAATAAAATCAATATAAACTTTCATCTGTCTGTCATTTATTTATTTATCTATATACCTTTGAAGCATTTGAGGAAAGATTGTTTCTAAATCTTTTCCTTCTAGGTATGAGTTGTTTCACTAGTCTATACATAACACACACACACACACACACACACACACACACACACACACACGAAATAAAGATTGAGTCTGTGAGTTGCATATTGAAATATATCTCTTTTAACACCTATGAATGAAACTGAGTAGACCTCATTCAGATACTTAGATCTGCCTTTACTACAAGGTCTAGTGAAATGAACGCTCTTCTGCTGCTTGAAGCTTAATGGAATGTTGACAGTAATACTTAAACTTTTCTTAATTAAGGCTCATTACTGAGTTGTATATAACAATTTCTTCATTCCCTATAGTTCTAAGCATTTTGTGGCAACTAAGAATACACTGTTTCTCAGACAGTCTCTGAGAACAAATAGATGATATGTTGGTAGGAAAAACTATTTATGGATCCCCAGCTTGCTTTCTCACCACCGTTTGTCATTTACATCAGGACAAAAATACAGAATGGTAATATTTTAACTTTTATTTTAGTAATAATGTGTTGTAGATACATCATTATTTTACAAAGTAAGTCCCATGCATCATTACTGTCCATCTTGATTGCATAATATGTAAAATTTTGGTTTCAAAGTTATGATTCTGTAGAACATTAAAAAATAATACAAGGAAAAGTTCCGTGTGCCCTACCCCTGAGCAGAATTCAGTGCTTCACTAAGAGGCTATATATTAGCTCCATCTCACAGTGACAGGCTCAGAGTGTGTCTGTGATTCCCTTGTCAAGGCACCAGTCACCTGCTGGTTCTCATTCAATTAAATGGGAGAGCCACAGGGAAATCGCTGCTGGCGCAGCAATTTTCTAGATAGACTCAGCAGCTGCTGCTGTGTGAGAGCCCACATATGCTACACCTGATTTAATCCAGTGGAACCTAAAGCCTACTGTTCTGTTAGAGTGAAGCAAAATGCATGCATCAAATCCACTCATATTAACCTTTAGTTTGCTTCTCTTTCTATGTAAGATTGCCAAAATTTGAAAGTATACCTATTTCTTCTTAAGCATTAAAAACACGGCTACTGTGAAGCTACAGGGGGAAAAAAATAGGACATTTGGGCTGATTTTCAGGTGATTTGTGGAGAAAAGATTAAAATATCAATTTGGGGTGAATTAAAACTAAGCTTTGTGTAGGAGACAGAGGGTAATGCTCAGAGATGGAATCTTTCAGCTTCCCTGTTAGAACAGGACAAGTGAACTGAGTATCTCAAGTTGAAACACATTCTTGAGGCACAGAGAAACTTATTCTGTTGTTTGGATTGCTAAATTTGTTTTAGAATCTTCTTCTGAGGGAGAATATAGGATTTTATTTATCATTTCAGAAGGAAATCAGAATTATTCTCTAGGTACCACTAAAGTACAACACTAGAAGCTTTGTAACTCAGAGAAAGTTGCTTAGAATTTCTGGGACTGAGTTTTCTCATCTAATAAACATGTTAATAATCTACTGCAAAGAGTTATTGGAAGGATCAGAAAAAAGGTATATGAAGTTCTGGACAAAAAGTAGTTATTTAAAATTATTATCAATATTAGGAAAACAGTCCCCATTCCTGGGGACTTTTTTTGCTAAAAAGAAGACAGGGAGTAAACACAAGGTGGAGGACAAGTCCTCAGGCTGTCACTAGATAAGCCTTTGGAAGCTTCCCTGAGGATAGCAAGGTGAAGGTAGTCAGAGGGTAGCTGGACAGAAAAGTTTGGAATCCAGGAGGAAGGTCTGGAATGATGACGGTGATTTGCATACCAATCATGTGGGACTGTGTGTGTGCTTGTAATAGCAATGACAAATCCGGGGAGAGTATACAGAATAGGAGAAAAGAGTTAAGTTCTCAACCTGGGGGTTTCAACACTCAAGAGAAGGAAGAGGAGCCTCAGGAGGAACCTGGGAATAGTAGGAGAACCAAAGAGAGAAGAGAACATTCCAAGAAGGACACGACCAGCAGTATCAAATAACACAGAGGAAAGAAATGAGATATTTAATTAATATTACTGGATGTCTGCTATGTGCCAAACACTATTATAGATCTATGGATATAGTGGTGAAAACCACCAACATTGTGTCACGGAGTTTGCATTCTGAATGTAGTTGGGGAGATTAAAGTAGAAAATGGGCAACAAGGATATAAAATGACAGGGATGCTGAGTACCGTGAAGAAAAATAAATGAGCACGAGGGGTAGGGTGAAATGACAGTGGACTTTAATTTAGACACGTTAGACCCCTTGGATTAAATGATATGTGAACAGAGATCTGAAGGAATAAGGCAACTGGTCCTGCAGATATCTGAAGGGGAAGATTGTTCCAGGCAGAGGGACAGCAAGTGCAGAAGCCCTCAGGTAGAAGGGTATTTGGCATGCTCAAGGAAGAGCAGAAACACCATCATGGATGGAGCAAAGAAGACAAGATGGTTGAATATTAGGAGATGGTATCAGAGAGGTAGAAGAGGGCCAGTTATACAGAGCTCACAGGGCATGATAAGAATTTTTGTCTTTGAGATGTTAAATCCTTTAAGGGTTCATGGCCGAAGTGATTTAAAAGGATTTCTTTGGCTAGGGTGGCGGGAATAGATTGTAGGGATAAGGGAGAAGCAGAAAGATCAGTTTGACATTGCAATAGTTCAGATGAATGTTAATGATTGTTGAAAATAGTAAAATAGCTGTAAAACTAACAAGAAAAGACTATATGTGTGCGTGTGTGTGTGTATATGTGTATACATATTTACACCACATATATACATATGTATGAGGTGGGGTTGATAGAGAAGCATGAGAGACAGAGATGTGTCAATGATGACATGAACATTTTATTTTGGGGATGGAGTGAATGCAATTTAGTTGAGGTGTCTACAAACATTCAGTGGTGATGCTGACAAGGCTGACGTTTATATGAGTGTAGAGATTGGGGAAGCAATGAGGGCTGAGAATGCCAAGTTTGGGAGTCTTCAGCATGGGGCAAGTATGTAAAGCCATGAGATCAGTTGAGATCACCTAGGAAGTGCCTGCAGATATAGAAGAGAACAGGCCAAATTTGGAGCCCCAACTTTAAAGATTGGGAAGATGACAGGAAGTCATTCATGACAGTAGTGTCCCAAAGTCAAAGGAAGAGAGTTTTTAAAGATGAAAGAGGGATCTAATTGCGATGAGATAGTAAATTAAAATCAGGTTTAAATCACTGCTGATCTTGGCAAGAGGAGCTATGGTAGAGTTGTAGTAACAAAAATTCAAGAGAAAATGGAATTAAAAACGTGGACATAGGGAATATAAGCGACTTCTTTGAGAAGTTCACACAAACAATAGGGGACAAAGAAAGTATAGTTAGGGCTCAAGGTGGTTAAGTGAACTTGACAAGGTGGTTAAAGGTATTGTGGGTTTAACTGTGCTCCCTTCCCCTCCAAAAATATATGTGTTGGAGTTCTAATCCCTGGTGCCTGTGAATGTGGCCTTATTTGGAAATTAGATCTTCACGGATGAAATCCAGTTAAGATAAAGTCATACTGAATTATGATGGGTTCTAAATCTAACAATTAATGCCCTTATAAGAAGAGGGAGATTTGGATACAGAAACACAGAGTCAGAACAGACACACTGGGAAGAAGGCTGTATAATTATGGAGCCATAGATTAGAATAATGCAGGTGCCAAGGATGGCGGACATCCACTAGTGACTAGGAAAGAGGCATGGATGTTTCTTCCTCAGTACCTCCAGAAGAACGTGACCCTGTTGGCACCTTGTGATTGCACTTTTGACATCCAGATTGGTGAGATAATATAATTCTGTTTAAAGTCACCCAGTTTAAGCCAGGCTCAGTGGCTCAGC